CTTGATATCTCCATGACATCCTTTTATGATCTAGTGAATATGAATTAGTCGTGAGTTATTACCTATTTGGGCCTAAACCTTTAAAACTTGTCTTCAAGAACTCACACATTAGGATGATTGGAATTAGTTTATGACATTGGTCATGAACCGGTGGCTTATTATATTTAATCACATTAATGAGAAGATGCACGGATGTTTTGAGTAGGCCCTCTTGGGCCCACTTGCTTGTGACATCCTGCTCTCATATGAATGTGTAACTTTGTTCGCAATGGTTGCGCACAAGTAAGTAGGAAAGCTGTAGAAGGTCATTTATATTAGCGCATTTAGTCCACTATGATATTTGTGACTAGATATGTGTAAGGGTATGATAGCTAAGCCTCAATCTCGACACATTTATAGATTACGATACGCATTTGAGTCAAGACTATTTGATCTCCCATAAGTCAAAAGTTTTGAGATGATTTTTGACATTGCATATATAAGGTTGAGATCAATTATATAATAGCTTTCGTGTTTTTAGTTTTGACCAAGGTGGCGAGTATCTATTTGAGTTATTTTAGAAAACTCTGTGAAGAGAAATGGATGCTTAGAAAATTTATTATTCCTAATACTCAACAACACAATGGTGTAGTAAAGATAAGGAATTAAGTATTGTTAATGTTAGGTGGATGATGGCGCAAAATATTTCCCAATTGGGAATTGCACTTTAGTTTGTTGCCTATATCCTTAACTAAATGCCCTCCATATCAGATTTTACACTTCATTAAGTAATGGGTCAGCGGAGAGCCATCTATAGGCGATCTATAACCGTTAAGTAGCTTATCTTTATTTTTACTTCTCATAAGGTTGCGAAGTTAAGACCTAGGGTTTTATAGCGCATTATTGTATGCTGTCTTGTAAACTCATAGGGTCGTGTGGCGCGTTATTGTATGCGGTCATGTAAACCCTCCGGGTCATGTGCATATAGGTAAGCAGCTTTGTGGTAGTGTAACTAAGTCAAATAAAGTTTTCTTAGTAAAGGTGACGTGAATAGAGTTTTAAAACTCTATAAGATAGAGAATTCCAAGCATAGCGCTTTTATGTAGCCTAATTGAGAATGGAAAGAAATTTCCAATATCCTAGGGATAGTAGAAGCGATGTACCTACTAATGGATTACTCCATTAGAGAAGAATACTCTACATTCTTAGTTGTATGTAGCGAATGTGAAAATTTTCCACGCCATCACTGGGTGATTGAGAAGGAAACATTCATGTTTGCTCTGCAAGATGATAAAGAGCCTAGGATAATGCCAAAGGCTCTAGCCCCCTATTTTTAGAAAGTGGATCAATGTTGCGCAGTTTAAAACAAAGTCTTTGAGGATTAACCATTTCTATAATTTGATTGACTTTCCATTATGACGCGAAATTGTTCTAAAGTTATGCGTAATTTGGATAGTTATTGTTGAGGCATAAGGCTCGCTAGATATCAAAAAGTCACACCATTAAGGAAAGTGTAGACCATGAGAAGACTTCCTCTTAGGGAGTGAGGTTATTTCAACTTAGGCTATGATTGACATAAGTTCGGAACATTGATTTGTAGACATTGTGACCCAACTTTCTCGTTGGAGAATTAGATAAGTAGATCCGCAGGGATTTGCCTCCTGCTTTTATGGTGGAAAGTTCGGAGCGCAAAAAGGTTGCTAATTCCAATAAATCTTTTGAAGCCTAAAACAGTTATACAAATAGTAGTTCTTAGATTTCGTCAAGCCGTGATAGGCAAACGATGATCGATGAAGACCACTGAGGCATGATCAATGGTCTAAAAGAAGTTTTCCCTTACTTAGTCATTATGAACCAAGAATTTATAAGGTTGTCGCCACCTAAGATGGGCAGTCCTCTATTTTAGATATGATGGACATGGGTGATGTAATTTATATGCTCGGATGTACGATCCTTAGGGATTGTTTTGGGAGAATTCCCGATTTGTCTTCAATGACTTACATAAGGAATATCCTAGAACGATTCTAGATGCAAAATTGCAAACCCATTGACCTATCAGTAAAAGCCAGAGCCTTAGCTATTGAGTGAATCCTCGGGTTGTCTTTGGGAGAAACAGATGACCTATATTCCTTGATCTTTTCTTTGTTGTGGGAGCCTAAAGTACGCTATGTAGGCGTATTCGGCATGATAAGTGTTATCTTTGATAAATGGTCAACTGAGTTGTTTAGACATTGACCTTACTCATCAAACTGTGGATAAAATGCTTTACTAGTAGTATATTAATTTGCTCCTTGTAAGATTCAATGCGCTAGTTGGGCGCATCCAGAATGAACACAAATTGGTCACCAAAATATCTTTAGAAAGGTAATTGTGCAAGAGGTAGTGATCTTGAACCACTTCATGTGAGGCGCAAATGGTGAATTCCGTTGTATATGCTTATCGCAAAAGGTGTTGATAAGGCTTATGTTTGGAATCTAGAATTGCGCAAGCTGTGGTCATGTTTTTTAGATCGATCACTTATTTGTTGTGAGATGATGGGATGTTGACACTATTATGGTTTGTGTCATAATGATTAGCATATGATGATGTCAGCAAGCAAGATTGACTCACTCACACGAGCAATCGTCCTTGGCGCTTGGGAGCAAGCAAGGATGAGACTAGTGGTTTATTTTTTATTTGGAGCCAAGAAAGGCTTAAATTATCCACCATGCATGTCACCTTGGTTACAACCAAGATGAGGTCGTGTTAAGGACCAAACATGGATGTTAGTACCCACTTTCCATATTGTGCCTGCTATGATTAGCTAGATACGAAATCTCATTTGGCGCCTGGAAGGCAAACAAATAGAGAATTCGAGTTAGGCACTAGAAAGTGGCTAGACTAATATCTGTATAGTGTATCGAGTATGACGTCACTCTTTTGGAAGAGTTACTCCATCGAAGCATGTATTCATACTATATGTGCTTGGCGACCGAGTAATGAGGTGATAGAATGGATCTCTGTTTCCTCACCGTGTGAGTCTTACGTGTCATTATCGATATGACTTTCATTTAGGTACCCTTTTGTGACTTTTGACTATGTCATAAGGTAAGGGGTTGATGTTCTGCTACTTTGGTATGTTGCCTGCGGTCATGTATGATTCGGCCTTAAGGGACATTAATGGGAAAGCAGTCAATCCTAAACTAAATAGCATGAGAGCAAAGAGAAGATCATCTAGTATTACACCACTGTTGTATATTCACTGCCGGTAACTCACATCGCTCTATATGAGAGGTGGATTGAGTGTGAATATATTGCAAAAATTGAGAGGGTCAAACATGCTCTTTTTGAGGGATTAGAGATGTTTTTTGGACCGGTGTAATTAGATGAGTCTGGGATATATGAGACACTATTTCTATTCCTTTTGGGTTGATGTCTCTATGCTGACTCATTTTGAGTTTCTAATATAGAGCTCCCACATGCAGGTATTCTTAACAGTCGTACGATGCATTGGCTAGTATGAGATTGTCCATTTTTGGGGAGATTGAGATAGAGATGTGGCAGTGTCATGCCAACTCATGTGCGATTGAGAGATGTTAGAAATTGGGTGCCCATGTGGCATGACCCTTTGAACCTTTTGAACCTGAACCTTTTTTAACCTTATCTATGTATGTTTGAATTTGAATTCAAAACTTATTTGGATAACCATTCAAAATATCTATATCTATCATATCAATAGATATGGATAGATGGATAGATAGATATTGGTGGTTATATATCTAATTTTATATTTTAAATAATATATTGATATATTATGTGATTTTTACCCATAACTTTTTTCACAGACTCTCTCTGACTCTCTCCCATTAAATAACTGACTTGTGTGGGTGATATTCATTTTGTAATATCACTCCACTGCTAGGTTGGTTGTTCACTTTCTGGAAGTACGTGATTTACCTACGAGATCCTTCACTTCAGACTCTAATAAAAAAGGTATAACTATGAAATTTTTCATCCGCTGCCTTTTACCACGATTGACAATTTAGGCATCCGTGGGTAAAGTTTATAGAAAAATATTAAATATGCTTATATTTATTTTTGATAAAAACGAAAACAAAATATATTTGGTAACATGTTTTTAGAAATTTAAACATTATCAAATAAGCTCTTATTGTTACAATTGTTTGTTTATATTTTCAAAAAAAAATTGAAAATAATAAATAAAAATTTGTTTAGTATTTATTTTCATTTTCAAAAAAAAAAATTATAAGCAATTTGCAAAATTTACTAAATTATTGTAATCACACAAAAAAAATTAATTTCATTCTTTTTAATAAACTTCCTGAACTTCCTTATTCTACCAACCCTTCTAAGCACGATCCATCACTCATCACCCCTACCAACTACTCTCACTTTTGACCACCATTGTTGGTAACAACAATCTGCACCTGTACACCACCTCTTGCCACTACATCTAGCCACCATATTCAATCCCATTTTACCACCATCTCCAACTGTTAAGAACTATTTCGATCATCACCTTCGGTACCAAACAACCACCTATGGACACTATCTCTAACCATGGACAACCACCTTAGACCACCATATCTCGCTGATAATCTCTCATTTGTTTATTTTTAACAATGTGCGTACCAAATAAGGTATTTTGTTTTCATTTTTACTAAAAATAAACAAAAACCTATTTAAAATTATTTATTTAAATAAAAACAGTATAACGTAAGACAATACTTTAATATTTAATGGTGAATTCCTAGTTTGTTTGAGCCATAGCGTAATGTACATGTGGCCAGCAATTAGGGGATAAATACAAGTCTTAGGCAAGAGCCAACAAATAAATTTAGGTTGTGGCTAAATCATAAATTTGAAGAGTTTGTACAGAAAAAAAATATTAATATTTATTTCTGATTAATTTTCACTGTTTATTCCCACAATGTACCTATCAGATGTTGGGTCTACATGAAAACAAAAAATACTGAACCAAAAAAGCATCCTAATAAAAAGACATTCGACATGTGGCAGTCAAAAAAACATAACAAAACAAAATTGGATACACCACATCAATGAGCAATTATATCAAGTAAGATCACAAAAATTCGAAGCCCTATTATCATCAGGTTGTGCTACTCCACAGAGACGGGTTTCTGGGTTTTGAGGCCGAACAAATTTTCAAATAACTTGGGGGCCATGGGAGGAACCTGCATGGGCTGAGGCGCCATGAAATTGACAATCTTTTCATGTATATTATACCTGATCTTGCGAGACTTTGAGGCACGTCGATCAACAATCTTCCTTTTCTTAGTTTGCATTCTCTTGAGAGCATAAAAGGTCGACTCTGGATGATCAAACAATGAGAAGTTGAAGGAAAAACAAGCACTTAGTACAGAAACCCATAAAGGACTGTGTTAAACTAAACCACTAATTTGATAATATTGTGGGTCACAGAAGCAACAATAGATTATATTAATGGTTTGATAATTTGTCAGAGGATGCATATAATTAGGACTGCACAAACAAACCAAGTTCATATACAGCTGGGTCTCCGCTTGTTAATAAGGCTCATTTGAGTTCCTTTATATTATAAACTAACCAAGCACAAGTTCTTTCTTTAAACTCATTTAGAAAATGAACTGAGCGTGAGGACAACTAAGCTTGGCTCATGAATAATGTGATGGCAATGATGAATGATGAATGTATGTGTATATTAAATTCCATGTTTCGTATTGTCAGTGCAAATGAACGATGGCATCATGGCATGAGATTTGAATGTTAATATCATGATGTCTCAGCTATTTTGATTTTGAATTCATATGTTTGAATTGATAATTTATGTCACATCAACTAGAACAAGACAAGTGGTAGACCATAAATAGAACTTTTGACATTGACCTGGTTAAAAAACCTTTGTAGCCCAGCAAACAAGAGCTGAGCCAAGTTTGAACAAAGATTCTCTGGCTTGATTCAAGCCTGAGCTCTTAAATTCAGCTGAGCTAAGCTTGAACAAGTCACTGCTAAGAACAGCTTAGTTCCTTTGTAGCCAACTTCGTTTGTTAGCAACAAAAATGTCAAACTCTGATCCAACTTCGTTTATTTCTCCAAATTAAGTATAAAAAAAAATTGCTGGAGTACTTTACCAGATGATGCTGGGTCAAATGTCTCAAAAAATTCTTTCAGTAGCTGCTGGTAAAATTCAGAGTCATCCAGAAGCTCGGGGTCACCATCCACTTTTGTGTCCTGATCACACAATAGAGGAATGTACTGAACTGATATGTGTTCACAATGACTTGATTCATGATGGTGATGGTGGTTTTATCTAAAGATTCCTCCCCCCCCCCCCCGCGGAGGGGGGGGACAAAAAGAGAAAAGGACAGAAACACGAGCAGCAATATAAAATTTTCATATGGTGCTCAGACGGAGAAGAGAAATCTCGACTTCCAAAACTGCCACCATTTTGCAAGGTGTCCCACTTATTTTTTAAGTCATACTTCCTAGAATGGAGATCAAAATTAAAATGCTATGCCAAACAACTCATTAAGTCACTAAAGTAGTATAAATTCAGACCTGTTCCTTGGTATTGCTCTGTGCATCTGGAACCTGTCATTAACAATAGCAGGTAATTAACGGTTTAACAAACCCATAGATATTAAAATAGGTAAAACATGCATTGTCCATAATCACGTTACAGTAAACTCGTTTAACTTTTGAATAAATTAAAAGGGCAGACTTATGAACTTACAATCCCAAATATAGCAACAGTCGACCTGCTCTGCTGCATTCCCTTTATCACTCTACTTGGATCCCTCATATAAGCAGCAACTTGCTCACTAATATTCTGTATGCGGATGACTGAATCAGATAAGTACCACGACCATTATACCTCTAAGATAGTGTTTGGTTCATTGGAATGGAAGTAGATTGGAATGGATTGGTCATTCCTTAACTTCCTTATAAAATGAACATTTCTTTACAATGGTGAATGTGATTCCATTTGCAATACATTCTCTCATTTTTTTTCAAGAAACAAACATGAGAATGGACCTTCTGATGGAATGATCATTCCATTCCACTCTATTCCAATGGATCAAACATAACATAAAAGTGCAAGGATATCACTTGAATCATGGAGGCAAACCTGATTGAAGGCATGTAATTTGCTTTTAAAAGCAGCAGCACCAGTTGTCACCTGGGACTTCCTCTGCCATTTATCTATCGATTTGTTTCTAAAATGAGCTATTCTACAAACACAAGAGCATCATCAGTCTCAGTAACATCAAGAATGCTGAATTTATGTGGACTGGACAAAAAATTCTAAAGAACGCATGCAGATAAAATAGTAAAACAGAACAAAATCCAAAAAAGAAATTGGAAGTTAGTTGGTCAAAATCTGATGAGCTGCTGGCCAATTTCTAGAGGTTGGATGTTTTATTTGGCACTTATATGCTTTCTGAATTGCAGACAGAAGTGATGCAATGCGGTGGAAGAGGTCTAATTTTGTCCTGATTAGTGTGAAGTCTTACTATGAGGCGCGTTTGGGTCATGAAGGGTCTTCCTTTTCTCGGAGGGCAATTTGGAATACTTAGGCTCTGTCTAGGGAAACGTTCTTTGTTTGGTGTGCGGTGCATGGAAATATCCTTACTATTGACAACTTGATTAAAAGAAGGTAAGTGCACGTTAATTGGTGTTCTATGTGCAAACATGACAAGAAGGCAGCAAATCGTACTTAATCCACTGTAAGGTGGTGCAGGAGTTGTGATTTTTGGCTCTCACATTGTTTGAATTTGAGTGGGTCTTCTCGAGGAAGATAATGGAGCTTATTTGGTCTTGGAGGAGGTGTTCGAGTGCGTAAAAAGAAAAAAAAAGGGCTTGACAATTGGTTCCTTCAGTGATTGTTGGATGATATAGGGAGTGGAATACAAGAGTGTTTGTCGGAAATGAAATGCCCGTTTTGAAAATTAATATCCTTATTTTGTCTATATTGTATAGTTGGTGTTCCAGGATGATTAACCCATCCTTGAACCAATTTTTGGATTCTGTAGAGAGGCTCTAGAATAGGTTGTTCTTGTATAACGATTATAGTTTTTTGTATATGGGTTATGCACCCCTTTGGTGCCTTTTCTTCATGTCAACATTTTAGATGATAGGAATCTTTTGCCCCGATGCTGTGCACAGAATTCTCACATAGGATTGGTAAGGAACTTCTAGGACACTTCAATTGTACACAGATCTTCAACATTTTTTATTTTTTATTTTTTATAGCATAAAGAAAATAAGGCAAAGCTCTTAGTAACCACCAATTTATGTAAGATGGTGAAGTTTGTGTGCTCCCAACAATACAGAGTTACATAAGTTTAAAATTAACCATACAACATAGAAAGATAAACAGAACAGTGCCACCATTCCCCTACTAGTATCATAGTATGTGACCTAACAGACATGTTGGAAACACCTTGAAAGTAAATAAGCCCCCTTTTGCTAGAGTACTAAGTCCGACTGATCACAACCCTTCAAATGTCTTAACATTAAATACCTCTAGCATGACATGAAGCATGTAAAAACAAAATGTCACTTTACCCACAGAAATTGCAAGTTCAACAAAAATTTTACTATAACCAACAACTTAGTTTAAGAGGCTCTATCCATCTTAAATATTTAATGTTCTACAAATCAAATGCAATTAAATGTTGATTGTACAAATACCTTGAGTGCATTTCAGATATTTGTGACCATTCTTCATCATCATCTCCATTTGAGCTCCTAGAAACTTCTGAACGCTTGGGAGGTTGGCCGGAGTTACCTTAGAAAGAAGAAAAACAACTCAACTCCTTGGGAATACGCATACTGATAATTGCACACTTGTAAAAAATGTTCTAGATACCATCATATACAAAGTCACATAGACATATAATCCCAAAGTATAAATTGGGAGGGTTCAAAATTCCCATATTGGCAATCTTATATATCATAGAGAGTACTGCCTAACAGTTTATTCATGATAAACAGATTCTTCAAGAAAAATTTAAACGATATACTTTCATAACTTTTTTGCTCAAAGCAAAAGAGGAGGACACAAACTTCATTATATTACTTGATACAAAGAATTTTAAAGAAAGTACTGCCTAACACTCAGGTTTCAGAATGGCCTACAAAAAATTACACGCCATACCATCTGCAGCTTGAGCAATGGATGGATTCTTCTCAAGTAATGCCTGTCAAAATAAGCATAGCATGTAAACAAAGGAACAGAGGTTGACAGGTACATCAAATTTTAATAATGTTTCGAAAGCATCAACTACTCATCACATTGTTAGAATCCTACACAATACAGAAGGAAAAGAAAAAAGGCAAGTAAATGGGTAAGATGTTCTCTTACCTCCTGTAATTCCAGTAGAGAATCCAAAGTCTTCTTAGATGAGGTAATCAGATCTGAATATGCTTCATTCACCTTACTGTCTGAATCGCAGAATGAAGACTTGAGTGGTTCCTGCACAATTCACCATGTTTCAATTAGAAGGTTCCAATAGAACATAAATTGCCATAGACATGAAAGATTTATCAATCAAACAGACCTTTGGAAGTCTATTAGAACTTGAGAATGCTTTTTGCAGCAAGAATCTCAACTCAAGAGTCTTGTCCCAGAGAACCTTGAAGGAAGAAAGACAAAAGGCAAAAAGGAAAAAGTTTAGCAAACGATATCAGAAAAGAAATGCAGAAAGCTGCTACAGGAACAAAAACCACAAACAGGGTTGATTACCATATACTTAAATAATTAAATTTTTTGATAATTATTGATGATGATGGGAATGCTTAGGAACCTAAACATTTTCAGGCCTACGAGAAAAGATTAAGGGAAAAGAAAAGAAGAAAAAGTTTAGTAAATGTTTTGCGAGAGAAGGAAAAAAAAAAAAAAAAAGAGCTCAGAAAACAAATGCAGAAAGCTACTACAAGAAAAAACCACAAACAGATGTTGACTACCACAGATAATATGCTTTTTTGCTAATTGTTGATGATGGCAACGGCAAAAAAATCTTAACATTTTTAGGTCAAGTTCATGAGAAAAGATTACACAACAAGCAGCAAGTGCAGTTAAATGTGAAAACCCCACTCATAGTTCTTATCTAAAGCAACCATATGACCTCCAAAGTTTGGAAAACCAAAAACATTGCAAAGTGAGAAGAAGAAATTAATAGAGAAATGTTCAATTAAAGGTCCATTACTACAAGTGCTCCTGTCCAATGGAGGTTGGGAGAAAATTTTTACATAAGCAGCCATAAAGTACAACATTAAGAAGACACCGAACCTTCTGGTTTTTGACTGCTTGACCTTTAAGAAGATCCTCATCCTTGTGACGCTTTAGATTCCTCAAAAGGTCTCTGAAGAAAAAGAAGTGAAATATCATAAAGAAATATATATACATACAAGAATAGATGTGTGTGTATATATTAATTCACTTCTAAGATACTCCTAAATCCTAATTATTCAAAGCAAACAATAACAAAGATAAAAGATTGGGCAAAAGAATTGCACATTCATGACCAACAAATGAGGTACAAATATAATAATATATGACCTTTTCTATCCTCTTCTATGTTCTTAGTGTACAGGGAAATGCTTAGCCTTTAGGAGCTAGTGTTTGTAGATGATATAAGTATATAGTATCTATTTTGTGGGCAAGAAGCCAAGCAAGAGTTAGCTATGCAAGATACACCTGGACACCATGAGAATGGAACATAATAGAACATCTACATCATCATAAAGTAACAACATAATTATTTTTCCTCATTTACTGTCACTACATAAACACAATCATGATTTGGAAAGACTTTCCAATACAACGTACTTCACAAAACAGCCAAAAAAAGACTCCTTAGCACTATACAAAGGCTTCTCTACATTTTGAAAAGATAACCTATCATTTGACAATTCTTAGATAAGCACAGCTAACCTAAACACATCAAGTGTATCACAATCATTAAGCATTTCCATAAATTATTTGTAGCATCTATTTAATGGTAAGACCTTTTCTTAGCATGGATTCTTATCCATTCCCAAAATTATTATTGTATTTCTCCAAATCATTCACTATATTTCCTAACATATGAATTACAACCTATCCTGATATTCACTAATTCCCACATCCTAACACTTTCATAATTTAACAAGAAGAATAAATTGATACAACTTAGAAGGTAAAAACTACAAGCTTTTGCGTTAATTTATGCTTAAAAAAGATCTTACTGCTCCTGGTGATGGAGGTCTGTCAATTCTTTATCGAGTTCTTCCATCTCAACGTCCTTCCGGATATCATTTTGATCATCACCATCTTCGTCCTCCTCATTTTCCTCCACACTATCATCTTCCTCATCATTGTCATCGCTATATTCATTGCCATCGTCATCATACTCATTCTCCACCTACATTACAAAAACAATAATTATAAAAGCATAATCAAGAGAATGAGAAACATTAATGGAGCCCAAAAATTTAAAACTTAAAATTATACTGACATTTAGCATCTCTTCTGATTCACTATCCTCTTGCGAACCAGCATCACTATCTTGTTCTTTTCTTGGCCGCTTTGAGAATTTACCCATTTTGAATCCCTAGAATCCAAAGATCCACAAAATTGTTAACTTCTTCACCGACGTTGTGCGTGAACTAGAATCTAAGAAGCACGGATACGGATACGGATACGGGTATGATACGATACGGATAGGGCGATATAACAAAATTTGAAAAACTAAGATACAGGTACGGCAGGGATACATTCATAAAAAATATTATTTTTACAATTTTTAGTAATGTAGCATACATAAAAATAAAACTTCAACAATATAACATCACCTATAACAACAAAATGCAATTCAAATTAAGGGGGGGGGAAATTTACAAAATTCATTTATTTATTAAAAAGTTTATTTATTTATTTATTTGCTTATAAAAAATTAATTTAAACTAATATACAAAGTTCAACTTATTTTAATTCTTTTAAACTAATAATCACAAAATTTATAAATATAAAAGCTAATATATATATGATAGCAAATGGACCAAAAGTTACAGAGGTCGAAAGGGAGAGCGAGAGATAGAGGGAGAGGAATAGATCGACCGAGAGAGGGAGACAGAGAGAGAGTCCAATCGAGCGAGATCTGTCCATCCAGACCAGAGAGATCGAGCGACAGGGAGAGGGAGATGGAGATGGAGAAAGAGAGAGTGAGATCGAGCGAGAAGAGGGACAAACCTGATCGATCGACGAGCTGCTGTTCGACGAGACGACGAGCTGTTGTTTGATAGAGACAACCACGAGCTGCTATTTGATAGAGACGACGATGACTACGACTCCTCTCCTCCTTTGCTGTTGCTGTCGCGACTAGGTAGGGTTTGGTTGATTTGTTTTATTTTTGTTTTTTTTTTATTTTACCTACTTTTGTTATTTTATAGTTTGACCCTTTTATAAGTTTTTAAAATTATTTTTATGCCCGCCGTATCCCGAAAGTATCCTGACCGTATCTTGAAGTATCCTCGCGTATCCCAAACGTATCCGAAATTTAAAATAAAAATTAAAAAAATAGGATTTTTTTCATATCTGATACGTATCCCGCCGTATAGGCCGCATATCCGTATCCGATACGTATCCAATACGCGCACGAGGGCCATTTCAAACTATCCGTGCTTCATAGATTAGAATCCATAGCATATTATACAAATAGTTTGATGAAAAAAATCAATAAAGTTGTTGTATTCAATTACAACAAACCAGAACAATTGATTTCTTTACTCTTTGATTTGATCTTCATATACCACTAACATAGTTCCAACCAAGGTTTTAAAAAGCGGTCACAACCGTTACTTAGTGATAGTTACCGCTATCCGTTACAGCCACTATAGCAATGTGACAAAAATTCACGTGTAACAGCCATTTCGGTGTTACGTAAAGGTCGTAGCGGTACCGTAACAACTGTAACGGTCCATTACACACCGTTATACCCTTTTACAATATTCTAAATAGTTTTCTTTTCCCAAAAAAAATAATAATAACTTACAAAAAAAAAACAAATACTCAAGAAATCTAAACTCAAAGAAAAAATCTTATATGAATTTTTTTTTTAATTTTTATTTCATTACATTCGCACGTAAAATAAAAAATATATAAACAGTGGTTGCATTTATTTTGTAATCATTTTATTTAATATTTTTTATTTTGTTAATGTGTTGTCTAAAAAATGTCTTTAAAAAATAAATAAAATTGGTAGTTCAAAAATAATTTTTGTTCATGGCACAATTTTATTTTTATAATCATTTCATTTGATACTTAATTGTAAATAATTGTATTTAATTAGCCGTAAAGTGTTGTCTAAAAAAATGCCTCAAAAATAAATTTTGTTTATTGCATAATTTTTATTTTTATAATCATTTAATAATTGCAAATATTTTTTATTCAGGTAGTTCAGGTGTTGGTCAAAAATAATTTGTAAACATTTAAAATCAATTATTCTTAAAGTCATTAACTATTGAAATAAAATGTAAAAAACTTTTTTATAGTTATTTTAAAATATGTATATTGGATCATACTTAAAAATTAACAAGAATTAATTAAAATCTATTTTAAACCTCGTGATTTTGAAGAAAAAAAAAATATGCATACCTGTAAGTTTTCTTCAAATTGTGCAAAAAATTAAAAAAATCACGGTTTCGATTACCGCAACCGTTACGCTACGGCCTTTACACCCCGCAACCACAACCGTAACCGTGCCACCGCAAATTGCAAATTAGCTGGAAAATAAGTGGAAAACATACATCCTCATATTTTTTGGTCTACTTGTGCAGTTCACACATTGAATTTGATTTTCAAAGATTTGGCCCAAACTTTTGATTGGTTCACAGATACATATCATAAGGGGAAAAAAATTGTCAAGTATTTCATAAATCATTCACATGCATTGACAATTTTTTGGTCACACTCAAAGCTAGAACTTTTGAAAGTAGCTGAAACAAGATTTGCTTCACATTTTATAATGTTGAAAAGACTTCTTGATGTAAGAGAGGCCTTGACAACAACAATTGTTTTAAATTCTTGGAAGGAATTAATGACAAGTGGTGATGAACATAAAAGAGATGTGGGTGCTCTGATTACTAGATATATTGGGAGTGATTATTTTTGGGATGAGGTGTACAACATAGTGGCAATCACAAAACCAATTTATAAATTAATAAGGTTTTGTGATAAAGATGGTCCACTTATGGGTGAAATATATGAGGAGATGGATAATATGCTTGGGGAGATCAAAGATGTTTTGAAAAACAACAAATACAGTGATGCTTATACACAAATTAAAGCTATAGTACTTGGTAGATGGGAAAAAATTAATGTCCCTATGCATTGCCTTGGATTTGCTTTGTCACCTCGATTTTATGATTCTACCTATGTAAATACTCCTGCCCCTGGTGGAACCATTAGAAAGAGACCTAATGAAGATAAAGAAGGGGTTTCTAGTGTCTTAAAAGCATTTGAAAAGATTGCATCGCATCCTGAGGAAAAAAGAATGTTACGCAAACAATTTGTGAATTTTCATATGCAAAAAGGCCTTTTTTCTGCAATTGCTGCCTATGCTGATGCTTCTACTATGGGTGCTATAGAATGACGGGCAACATATGGATCAGAAACACCAGAGCTAGCAGAAGTTGCACGAAAGGTCTTATCCCAACCAATCACTACATCATCTGCAGAAAGAAATTGGAGCACATACATGGTTGTTAAAATCGCGATCCAGATCGTAGGATCGTACGATCCTATGATCCTACTTTGCCAAAACGATCCAAATCGTTGTAGGATCGATGTTATAACAGGATCGCAAGTAAGATCGTGTAGGATCGCATGGGATCGTGTAGGATCGTATGGGATCGTATAGGATCGTAGGTAGGATCGCAGGTAGGATCGCAAGTAGGATCGTAGATTTTATGATTTTTTACCTTATTTTTAATATGTATCATTTTAATTTTAATTTTTATCTTTTTTTTTAACAGAAAGTAGGATCTTACGATCCTCGATCCGGTCCTACGATCCGATTCACCAGACCCTCTCACCGATCCTACTTAGGATCCCGATTTTAACAACCTTGCCACCACCACCACCTCCACCTCTACCTCTTCCCCTTTCCTAGCTATGTATTTTTTTTAGTTTTCTTTGCTGGTTTTTTTATTTTTGTATGTATATACTCTGTTGCCTTGTTGTCATGTTGGAATTTTGACAAAACTTGATATAATTTCTTAAATGAATTATCGGCATCAAGAACGAATGCTTATATATATATGTGTGTGTGTGTGTGTGTGTGTGTGTGTGTGTGTGTGTGTGCGCGCTCTTTTAAACCTGTAAAATATAAATTTTGATTTTGATTTTGATTTAAAAGTATATATGTTGTGTACGGCTCGAGTAATAAAGATATTAATTTCAAAAATCAAAATGTCACATTGTGTCAATACCATCTCAAGCATTTATATATATAATAGTATAAATAGAAAGAAGATAGATAATAGTGTATATATATATATGTTTGTATATAAGTATACTAGGGATTGTGCAAATGTGATGGATTTGGATTTTATATTGAAATTTTTGAATGGTTTGATAATTAAGGACTGTTTGATGATGAAGAAAAATCATTATTGGACGTGAATTGACAAAATTTACAATGGCTCAAGAATCTTGTATAAGGTTCGTAAGAATAATTTACAAGATAGAACTAATTGATCATAGATCAAGTTCAAAAGCTTCATGGATAGTCAGTGTATTGGGGAGCATAATTTTAATCTAAGTTACCTAGATCGCGAATCGTTGTGGTACGTGGAACGGGTACGGACACGTAGTACGTCATGTCGTGCGGAACGTGGTACAGTAAGGGTAGGCTTCTACGGATCGCTTAGCCGGAATGAAATACGTTTGTTCGGAATGTGGAACTTTTTTTGGACCGTTTAGTAATATTTGTAGAAATGTATGATTGTGTACATGTAAGTAGGGGTGTCCGCGGTTCGGTTTAGGACGGTTTGCGGTTCGGTTTGGACCCGCCCGCATGTATACGGTTTGGAAAAAAGTCAACCCGCAACCGTCCGCAATGCGGTTTGCGGTTTGTGCGGTTAGGGTTTGCGGATGTGAGGACGGTTTGCGGATTGAACTTTTTTTCCAAAAATTTATTTTTAAACCTTTTTTTTCCCATTTTGTCAATCTTTATTTTGGACCTTTTTTCTCATATTTTCTAAAATGCTTCAACATTAATAATTAATGAATTAAACTTAATGAATTAATTCAGATTTCAGCATCAATTAACATACAGTCACAGAATAGGCAATTTTCAGATTCAGAATCAATTAACAAAATCAATTAACAAAATCAACAGGTTGTCAATTTTCTGATTGTTAATTGATTTTCAGAATCTGAATCTGAATTTTCAGAATCAATTAACAATCCATGTGCATTATTTAGCTTAATTTTCTCAACTAGGTTTTAAACCTTATCTGGTTCTTCATAGGCAATTTCTGCAAGTATGATGGTCACACACTTCACACGGAGTTGAAAATCATATCAACTGGGATCAACAAAGATACATTTATATTATCATGTCATTCATGTTTTAAATACAAATGTATGCTTTAAAATACCCAAAGCAAAACACCCAAACATCTAGATAAATAAAATACAAATGTATGTTTCAACACTTCTAGCTGCTGAGAGCTGCTACACAATATGTTAAAAATTATCACCCTAACTGAAATCCTTCTTTTCATTCTAAACCTTCTTTTTCATAATACCCATTATTTTAAACCAGGGTTCACAGTTTAATACTAGTATACTAGCACATTTGATATCTCTCAATTATACTAGCACAGTTTAATACTAGTATACTATGCCTCTCAACTAGTCAATTAGATCATTATAAAGAAAAAGAAAAAGAAAACTACTTCATCAGGTAAGTAGAATCCATGTTGTCTACAAAAAAAAAAAAATGTAAAAATTCTTCATACAACGTTCAAACCCATCACAAAGATAGCATGCTTATCAATTAACAATCAGAATCAATTTTCAGATCAAACAAAACAAATTCATATTTCAGATTCAGATTTAGATTTCAGAATTAATAAAATTAACATACAGATTTCAGATTTCACAACTAAGATCAACATTACACAGTGTGAGACACAACTAAGATCAGATTTCAGATTACACAGTGTGATCAACTAAGATCAACATTTCAGATTCAGATTAACATCCAGACATTACAGACATCACAGAAAATTGATCGGTGCAGTGCAGAGATGAGAGATCAGGGAGAGAGAGAGAGAGAGAGGCTTACCTGTGAGACAGTGTGAGTCTATCGGGGCGAGAGAGGGAGAGACAGAGATGAGACTGATCTGATGAGATGAGAGAGTGAGGGAGACAGATTAGATCAGAGATATATCTGATATATATATCAGATATATACATATATATAAAAAACAACCATCGGGCCAAGAGAGAGAGAGTTCACCTGTGAGTAGATCGGCG